TTGTCAGATACATTCAGATTGATTTAGAAGTTGCATCTTCTGAGGAAGCTCAGGATTTCCTGGCCATCAGGATGACTATGGGCATATCTCAGGTAATTATTACTTAGCTCATACAGCTCGTAATACTTGGGATCTAGTGATAGACTGTCATAAACCAATCATTGTCTTCTATGCTTTGAGTCTGGGGATCATCTCAAGTAAAGGGACGTTTTTGATGATCCATCCTTAAAGACTAATAGACCATAAGGGTTCCAGAGAAATGAGTTAAAATCTTTTTACATTGATTCAACCACTCTATGGGGTACATTAGACATTATACCACTATTTTGTCATTTGCCATTGATGATGTGGCCCCTAGGTGCCCTTTATACTAACTTCATTCTCAACGTCTCCCCGGTTCATAGATAATCTGCAACCAATGAAAGGAGAGGGAAAATGGCTAGAACACCACTAGCAGAAGTTTCTTGCTAAAGCTGTTTGGTTGTAGCATAAAAAATTGTTTTAAACAAGGGGGTGGGCAATAATTTTTGATGGGGGACCACTCCAAGAATTTTGTAGGTGGTCAAGAGCTGCACTCTCTTCCATTATATAAATGTAGGAGGTGTGGGGTCTGGGATGAAGGTTTGGTGCAGAAGGGAGCTTGGAGTAAGGGACTGGGGTACAGGAGGGGGTGTGGAATCTGGGAAGGAGTTTGGGTGAAGGAGGGGTTATGGACTGGGGCACAGGGGTTTGGGTTTTGACCTAAGGCAGGAGGAGGTTGTGATGTGGGCTGCGGATTGGATTGTAACATCTGGAAAGGGGTATGGGTACAGGAGTAGGAGTGCAGAGTATAGGGGCTAGGGGGAAGAGAGTTGGGGGGAAGAAGGGGCTGGAGTACAAGAGGCACACTCTGACCAGGAGATGCTGACCTGGGTGGCTCCTGGCTAGCAACCCAGCAGGTTCCTCAGCCAGGATACCTGCCTTCCATGCCCCTACGGTCCACTAACAAAAGCTATCTGCAGGGGTAGGGGCCATGTGTTCACCTCTGAATGCTAAAATTCCGGGGGGAGGAGGTGGGATACTTCATGTGCTGCCCGTTCTTCAAACAGGCAGCTCCCATTGGCCAAGAACTGGCCAATGGGAGCTGTGAGATTGTGCTGTGGGCAGTGTGCAAAGCCTCAGAGTTTGGATGAACACGGCCATCACAGCTGGCTTTTCTGAGTGCCATGTGGGGGTGGTACAGACAGGAAACCTGGCTGAGGCTCCCACTTGGCTATGGGTTGGATCAGGTGGTTTGGTGGGTTGTATCCAGCCCACAAACCACATTTTATCCACTCCTGTTTTAAACTGTAGTTGTGAGGATGACTGGGAAATTAAAGCTCCTTTCCAGTATTTTAGCACCCACAAAATCTTGGGAACAGATTTGTTTCAGGTAGCAGTCTGGACTAGTAAATCCAGATTGTTACAGGTCAGCAGCTAGCATGAATTCCTTCTGCTGCAAAGTAATTGGTATTGTTGATTAATTCTCTCCGGCAGTTAGCCACAACTCAGGCTACGTCTACACTACAAGCACATTTTTGTGCAAGTAAATGTTCAGTAAATCAAAAGAACAGAATGGTTTTTGCAGTGTAGGTATTCCTCTTCCTACAAGGAATAACTCCTTTTAGCATGAGAGTTCTTCTGCAAAAAGGTGTGAGTGGACGGGCAACATGGGTTTTTTGTGCAAAAAGAGCCAATGGACAAAAAACACAGGTGCTCTGGAGGCTATTCTGTGAATAGCAATCAGAACTTTTTTTGAGAGAGCGTCCATACAGTCTGGATGCTTTCTTGCACAAAAGCGCATCGCTTTTGAGATGCACTTTTGTAGCGTGGATGCACTCTTGCACAAAAAGTTTTTGTGGAAGATCTCTTCTGCAAAAAGCTTCTTGCACAAGAAGCCTGCAGTGTAGATGTAGCCTCAGGGTTGTTATAGGGATGTTAAAGTAAGATAAAAATAGAGGGAAATTCTATAGGCACTGACAGTAAAGAAAAGGCCCATTGCAAGTCATTGCTTTGTCTTGCCATTTATAAAATAGATTATTATCCTGTGAATTGTTCTACCTTACTTATACCTATCTCTGAAAGGGATAAATAGTCTTGATCTATAATTGAGGGTGCAATATTGCCTTGTACTATGCAAGTTTGAGAAGAGAATCACCTGCCCACATATCTATACTGGCAAATTCATCACTGGAGCCAACAACATAAGCCACCAAATCAAAAGGTCATTTGACTGCACCTCCAGTAATTTGATCTATGCTATCAAATGCCAGCAGTGCCTCACTGCTCTATACAGGGCTCGCCGAACCGTGGCGAGCCCAGTTCGCCAGCCACGCTGTCCGTTGATCTGCGCATGCACAAATCGTAAATCAAAAGGTCATTAGACTGCACATCCAGTAATTTGATCTATGCCATCAAATGCCAGCAGTGCCCCACTGCTATATATATTGGACAAACTGAACAATCTCTGCGCGAAAGAATCAATGGACACAAATCAGATATACGTAAAGGAAACATACAGAAAACCTATTGGTGAGCATTTCAATCTTCACATCACACTTTGAAAGATCTCCAAGAAGCTGTCTTGTCACAAACCAGTTCTACAAGCCAGATCCACAGGGAAACATTTGAATTACAGTTCATCCACAAATTCAATTCACATGCTAAAGGACTCAATCCTGATGAAAGTTGGTTGGGACATTATCAGTTTAACAGCCATTGAAGGTGCAAACAGCTCTCTAAGTTGTATCCTTCCTTACATGGGAGTCTATCTATTGACTTTGATTCTTATCTGCTTCAGTTTAACTACCCAATCGTCAGATACTTACTGATGCTCTCTGTCTCCCACTCTCCTCCCTTTTTCTTCCCTCCCCACTCACCTTCCCCTCTCTTATTTATTTTGCATGTACACATACTAAACTCATAACTCCGGTCATCTGAAGAAGTGGTCTGTACCTATGAAAGCTCATGATACCATCTACATGTTTTGTTAGTCTATAAAGTGCTACCAGGCCATTTGTTGTTTTTTTTCCTGTAACAGACTAACTTGGCTACCCCCTGAAACTTCTTGTGTTTTGTTAGTAAAGGAATAAATAACAACTATTTTTCCACACTACTCATTATTTTCTAGACCTCAACCATATTCCTCCAACTTTAGTCATTTCTTTTCCAAGCTTAAAAGAATGCTCATTGTCAACTTATTTTTTAAAAACAAACTTTGGCTTCTGAGACCAGCTGCAGTCATGTCCCTTTCACTAGAATGTGGTAAAATACTTCCTTGAAGGGTGAGCTTACCTGCACCAAGGGTTTTCCCCTTGCTGAAAGGTTACAGGTACTCTACTTCAAACGTAACTGTTTGGAAGTAATGCATTTTACAGTCTAATTAACAACCCCATCTTTTGATGCTGCAATGAAGGGCCTGTAGGGTTGCCAGGTGTCTGGTATTGAACTGGATAGTCCAGTATTTGAGCTTTGTTCAGGAAACAAATTGAGAAAATATAAATATGGGCCACAGACGCTTTTCTACAAAAAGTGCTTTTGCGGAAAAGCATCCATGCCAATCTAGACACTCTTTTCCGAAAATGCTTTTAACGGAAAACTTTTCCATTAAAAGCATTCTGGAAAATCATGCCAGTCTAGACGTAGCCCATGTGTACTTGGCAGTTTGTTCCCCCTCAGTTGGGAGAGACGCTCGCTGGGGCCTGTTTCCACGAGGTTTCCTCCGCTCTCTGAATAGCACTAGCGGTGCAGAGGAGTGCACGGGGATCTAGGTTACCATGTGCACGCTTAGTTAAGTGGCATAATCTGCGCCGCAAAGAGCCTCTTCCTCGCCCCCCCGCCGGCCCCCACGGTGTACTTGGCAGTTTGTTCCCCCTCAGTTGGGAGAGACGCTCGCTGGGGCCTGTTTCCACGAGGTTTCCTCCGCTCTCTGAATAGCACTAGCGGTGCAGAGGAGTGCACGGGGATCTAGGTTACCATGTGCACGCTTAGTTAAGTGGCATAATCTGCGCCGCAAAGAGCCTCTTCCTCGCCCCCCCGCCGGCCCCCACGAGATACAAACCGCCCACGCTGCGCTCTGACTGTATCGGCAGAGGGACGCTGCTACCAGCCTCCCGTAATTCAAATAGTGGCTGGACCGAGGCAGGCCTGTGGGGCGCTGTAGGGG